CGCAGTTCCTCCGCCAGGCCATACACAGGCCCACGCCCGGGGATCCTTAATTCCCCACACATACACCCCCTTCCCATGCTGTCATGACCATATAATTAAATATTCTAAGTCCTACCAGGATAGCTCAATTTATTTAGCTTGCTATTTCATATCACCCTATATGTATTTTAGCTACGAAGTCACAGGACCAATTAGCGGTCACTCATGACTCTGCCTATTCCCCATTATTGTTGCAGTATCGGTTAAACACTCCCCCACGGTCTCTGGTAGTGGCCTTGGATCTTGACCCTAATCACTTATAGGGATATTTTATTTATGTCCTATGAATCTTGTACCCACCATGTTAGGGTCAGGATTCTAATGTCTATGTCCTCAGGTTACCTACTCATAGCCCAGCCTCAAGAACAACCACCCCCATGATACAAACGTATTTTCATTCATAGTAAGTCAAGCCCAATTCCAGTTCCAACTAGCCTTCCACCATAATTTTCCCTTTAGGTTCTCCAGTATCTCATTCCTCTGGCAAGGAAACCTCATTCTACCCCAAGCAAGGTACATTTACCTACCTCGCTACTACCCATCACCTGTCCCATTCGCGGATCGGGTATGTCAACTGGTAGTCTGGTTCCCAGCTAAGCCAGTAACTAGCCACATCATTATCAATTCCGTGAGGCCAACACCCATCTCCATTCGCATGTAGGTATACGCCCCTTGGCCTCACATCAACCTCTCCAGGTTACCAGTAAGGGCCTCACCCAGCACGGCCTCTTATATTGATTCTTTTTTACAGTCCCCGAGAGGCCAGCGCTGCATCTTTTAGTGGGCCCTGCCCACTAGGCCAAATCATAGGTAGAGCCTCTCTAAGCCACTTGGCATTAAGGGCCTCACTCTTCTGGTAGTTAAGATAAATTATTCGCCTTTAGCTAGAGCCAGTTGACACAGAATCGCGCTATTTGTTGTGCTCACCCCCACTCCTATTTGGGTCTCAGCGTCTCTAATCCCAGAAGACAGGGACCTCACTGCCCCATCCCCCAATCTGACTACCCACCCCGGCTGGGCCTAGCACCCCTGCAGACTATCTGGAGCCTACTAACCCTGGTTTCTCACATTCCTGGACCATCCTAAAATTAACAAGCTGTACTACGGCATTTAGGGATTCCATTCCAGGCCACAGCTCGCAAACCACACTATATAAACTTCTGCTCAAATTACCGGTACACTTCAGCCGGGCACTAGCTCGCAGTCAGATAATCTGATCAGATAACTACAATGATGTCAAGCAGTTGATATCCACTCTACTTGCCTGCATACAAAACATCAACCATGGACTAGAGACTGGAATCTCCACAGGCACTGACGCACGGCCCAGCCACAGGGCTCCTAAATCCCTCTCATGGTTATGTTATCCCTTCAAATCCCGCCCCTAGCATCTGTTTACATTGTCACTCCTGCGTACTTCGTGTCCCCGACCAAACGCAAAGACATCTGGAAGGGTTAGTTTAGTCTCCTTACAGATTGCCTCCCACAATATGTTAGTGTACAAGTCTTATTACGACTACGATAATCTGTCCGTCGTTCTATAGACCAGAATCCCAGACTCAATCAGAAACTCACTATCCCAGAATTCATCCTGGCCTTCAGTCTTTTCGTGACGTAAGCGACTCTACTTCTCCTCCCCATGGAGAAGGTTTGCATCGACAACCTGGAGCTTTACCTCCAAACACACCCTTCCCGTCACTTAGTCGACTTCTACATCAAGGTTTTCACACACCATTTCCACACAGGTCTGGTCACACTCCCGTCCGGTATTCATGAGTGCCAGAACCTTCGGTCTGCATTAATAGACCCCGCAACACAATCACATTGCTTAAGAAGGTATTTGATAACCCATATTAATTACCCACCCCTAGCCTCAACTTATTGATTTTCTCTAAGGAATTCTCCCAGCACTATGCTATAGGGGATGACCGGAGCTTGGGTGGGCAAGACAAACATTTCCAACACCTCCAAGCTTTTACCTATTCAGCCATCCCAAGGGCATGTACGTGGCATTTTATGAAAGGATTTTCATTACTTTCCCACACATTTAACTTTTAAAACAAAGAGTAACCCCTAGCTGTTTGTCTTATTTGCTAACACACTATGTTGGCCACCACTCAATATTAGCGAATGTCCTGCAGTCACCCGGTTTCTTAGAAGACTTCCTCACGATAGAACACCCTCACTCCACTCTGGTTAGTATTCACAAGACGATGGCACTTTTTAACCACTAGGGGTTCCACTTTCACAAACTGATCTTCTTAAGCATTCATCTTGACCCTATCACGCTACAGAACATGTCCACCTACAGAGAATGTACAGTGCAACAGAGTCCGGGGAACCTTTTTCTTGCAAAAAGCACATGTACCTGGTTTGGGCCCCTTTTGCAGCAATTACTGCCTCAATGTGGCATGGCATGGAAGCTATCAGCCTGTGGCACTGCTGAGGTGTTATGGAAGACCAGGATGCTTCAATAGCGGTCTTCAGCTCTTCTGCATTGTTCGGTCTCATGTCTCATCTTTCTTGGCAATGCCCCCATAGATTCTCTATGGGGTTCAGGTCAGGCGAGTTTGCTGGCCAATCAAGCACAGTAATCCCACGGTCATTGAACCAGGCTTTGGTGCTTTTGGCAGTGTGGGCAGGTGCCAAGTCCTGCTGGAAAACTAAGTCAGCATCCCCATAAAGCTAGTCTGCGGAAGGAAGCATGAAGTGCTCCAAAATCTCCTGGTAGACAGCTGCGTTGACCCTGGACTGAATGAAGCACTGTGGACCAACACCAGCAGATGCCATGGCTCACCAAATCAACACAGACTGGAAACTACACACTGGACTTCAAGCATCTTGCAGTGTGTGCCTCTCCATTCTTGCTCCAGACTCTGGGTCTTTGGTTTCCAAATGAGATGCAAAAGTTGCTCTCATCAGAAAAGAGGACTTTGGACCACTGAGCAACAGACCAGGTCTGTTTTTCTTTAACCCAGGTAAGACGCTTCTGACATTGTTTGTTGTTCAGCAGCATCTTGACAAGAGGAATAAGACATCTGAAGCCCATGTCCAGGATCCGTCTGTGTGGTGGCTCTTGATGCACTGACTCCTGCCTCAGTCCATGCCTTGTGAAAGTCCAACACTTTTGAATGGCCTTTTCCTGACAATCCTCTCCAGGCTGCAGTCATTCCTGCTGCTTGTGCACCTTTTTCTTCCACACTTCTATATATTAATGTGCTTTAATACAGCACGTTGGGAACATCCAACTTCCTTTGCAATTACATTTTGAGGCTTTCCCTCCTTATGGAGGGTGTCAATGGTTTTCTGCACAACTGTCAGGTCAGCAGTCTTCCCCATGATTGTGATTCCTACTGAACCAGACTGAGAGACCATTTAAAGGCTCAGAAACCCTTTGCAGGTGTTATTGCTTACTTGGCTGATTAGATTAGGACACTGTGAGCCTAGAATATTGCACCTTTTCACAATATTCTAATTTACTGAGATTGTGGATTTTGGGTTTTCATGAGCTGTAAGCCATAATCATCCCACTTACGGCAAATCACAGCTTGAACTATCTTGCTTTGCATGTAATGCATCTATCTCATTAGTTTCCCCTTTTACGTTGCCTTACTGAAATAAATGAACTTTTGCATGATATTCTAATTTTTCGAGTATCACCTGTAGGTGGTGGTCAGAAGTAAGAACAGTAGGCAAGGGATATCTTATACGCTATAGTCCTCTGGTACGATCCCTTCATTTTGTCTTATTAAAAAAAAAAAACAAATAAAAAAAAAACATTAAACAAGTGTCCCTGGCTACACACAGTGACACCTAATGGAGGTATGCCTAAAGCAGAAGTTATACACACACACTCTTCCCACTAGTCTTAACAATTCATAACATCAGTGGGCACTGTGATAGGCTGCAAGCAGTCAGCCGGCACTCTCAGCCAGCAACTGTTGTTCAGGCAAATGCTTCCTTATTAGCCCATGACTTCTGGGAATTCTCATAACACCAACAATTTAATGGTGAATTGAATAATGGTGCCAGTGGACCTAAGACAGCATCCATTTAATTGAGCAGTTATAGTGTCCCTTTAAAAAAAAAATAAAAAAAAATAAACAAAAAGGGCACTGGTGCAGGATAAACATAAAGTATTAAATAATTAGCAAAGCCATACAAGATGCAGTAAAAAAAAACTACTTATATAGATACTCATTAGCTTTGTGAGCCCACTCTTTGCTGAACATACAGAATTTTGTAATGGGACACTAAGATTCTGTGACTATTTAAGTTGTAAGTTTTAGCTTTAAAACCGTAATACACTATTTGCAGTATTTGTTTTATAACTTCTAGAAATGTATTGAAATCCTAGACAGAGCATTTTAACAATCAGGACGAATTGCTTAAAGGACCACTCTAGGCACCCAGACCACTTCAGCTTAATCCATTCTTTTATAAACATAGCAGTTTCAGAGAAACTGCTATGTTTATGAATGGGTTAAGCCTTCGCCCAAAGCCTCTAGCAGCTGTCTCATTGACAGCCGCTAGAGGCGCTTGCGTGCTTCTCACTGTGATTTTCACATTGAGAGCACGCCAGCGTCCATAGTAAAGCATTGATAATGCTTTCCTATGCGACCGGCTGAATGCGCGCGCAGCTCTTGCCGCACATGCGCATTCAGCAGACGGGAAGAAGAGGAGGATAGCTCCCCGCCCAGCGCTGGAAAAAGGTAAGTTTTTACCCCTTTCCCCCTTCCAGAAACGGGCAGGAGGGGGACCCTGAGTGTGGGGGCACCCTCAAGGCACTATAGTGGTCCTTTAATCTACTTAGAAATAGTTTTCTTTACTTACATTGGCCCTTAACCCCTTAAGGACCAAACTTCTGGAATAAAAGGGAATCATGTCATGTGTCCTTAAGGGGTTAAAGGATTGGAAAACAAACACCACAAACATTCCTGATAGAAAACAGACAAAGAAGACAAGATTAAAGTTTTAGAATTTGATTTATTAACAGACTGCAGGGAAGAAGGTGTCTTGAAAAAAACCTGAAAAAAAAAAAGAAAAACAATTAGCCATCTGCTTAGCAAAGTATTTTGCAACTGTAAACTGGAAAAAAGTATAAATACTTCAATAAAATTTTTGGGAGGTACTCTGGAAACTGGCATTGTCAAAGTGAGTTCTCTAATCTGTATCAAACAATTTAGCGGTTTTACAGTAGAGTTGGCGGTGGTTTTCAAATTCCCCACCATATTACACAAACAACCAATTTCAAAACAGTTTGAATCAAAGACAATCACAGGAAATAACGTTCATCTTTCCATTTTGAAAGCAGATCGCAATAAAAAAAACATAAAACAAATCTGCGTAAACAAGGTGTTCAATATAAGCTACAGAAAACAACGTTTGAATTTTATTTTACAAAAAAGGCAAAATACTGACGTACTGAACAAAAACTGAGAAAATTCAATTCATATCATCCCTGGCCAGCAAAATTGTCTCAGGTATATCTGGCTTGTTCACCAATGCAGAGGCATAACATCACATACTAATGCCAACTCTAACTTTCCATGTGCATTTACAAGCAAGTCACTTAATGGACTACTCCCCATTTAAAAACCTGTGGGGGGGAGTAAGTACAGCATTTCTGCCAATAGCATTATCTCAGGAAAGCCACAGAAGTAGGGAAAAATCTCCCTGGTGTGGTATTCCATTATTTATTGTCATTACCCATTTGTCTTAGAAAACTGTGCTGCCGATAAACATTTTATGCCATTTCCCCAAAAATTTTAAAAAGTGGCCCTGAAACTAAAGAGATCAAGGAACAAACACTTCTTGGGACTTACAGTTGAACCCCTTAAGGACACATGACATGTGTGACATGTCTTGATTCCCTTTTATTCCAGATGTTTGGTCCTTAAGGGGTTAAAAGAACCCTCCATTGCCATTTATTTTTAACTGTTCTGTAAATATACAATAAATGTGCAGTATTCAGTACTACAATTTCTTCTTCCACTGTTAAAGGACCACTCTAGGCACCCACACCACTTCAGCTTAATGAAGTGGTCTGGGTGCCAGGTCCAGCTAGGGTTAACCCATTTTTTTTTTTTTTAATAAACATAGCAGTTTCAGAGAAACTGCTATGTTTGTAAATGGGTTAATCCTTCCTCCAATTCCTCTAGTGGCTGTCTCATTGACAGCCACTAGAGGCGCTTGCGTGCTTCTCACTGTGATTTTCAGTGAGAGCACGCCAGCGTCCATAGGAAAGCATTATGAATGCTTTCCTGTGTGACCGGCTGAATGCGCACGCAGCTCTTGCCGTGCGTGCGCATTCAGCCGACGGGGAGGAGAAGAGGAGGAGAGCTCTCCGCCCAGCGCTGGAAAAAGGTAAGTTTAACCCCTTTTCCCCTTTCCAGAGCCGGGCGGGAGGGGGACCCTGAGGGTGGGGGCACCCTCAGGGCACTATAATGCCAGGAAAACTAGTGTTTTCCTGGCACTATAGTGGTCCTTTAAGAGCAGCTGGGCACATTTAACACTTTGCCAGATATGCAAACACACCACTGTATTTAAATATATACTCTTCCAATTTAAGCACGAACACAGAGCAGGCTATTTCAAAAGGCACATTACTTCTTTGATGTAGTGGTTATAGTGCTAGGAGTATCCCAGTGCCATCCCACAGTAGATAGTCAAAACATTTTAGTACATTTTGACAACTTACCTGCATCCCACCAGGCGGTAGTGGTTATTGTGCCTCAAGTGTTATGCAAATATATAAACATGAACTTGCAGCAGCTGAATATGCTAACCATAAGGTAACGCAGAGGCTACTACATCTAAAACTAGGGTTTAGATCAAATTTGTTTATTTTTTTTTATTGGGGTAAAAATATTACCTTTAGTTCATTCTCCTAATTAGTCTGTTGATCTGATCTTCCCTGTTACCAGCATCACCACCTTCCACAAAGTGTGTAGTTTTCTTCTTCATTCCACCTTTGGGAGAAGAAAGTTTGAATGGCCAAAGGAAGTTGTTTGCCTTCTTGAAGTTTTTGCCAACGGTGTAAATTTCATGAATGAGATCTTCGACACAAATGATGCCAGTCTTGCCTAGAGAATGAAACAAAATATTATATAACTGTCCAGTTGTATTTTCTCCACAAATTCAAAAGAGAAGAATAAACAAACAACAAAGATTACCATATGGTTTTGCAACATAGGAGTTTGCACTAATCAGAATAGCCACCCAACCTCCTCAAATATAAAAAAAACAAAAAAAACTTTAAAAAAAAAAGAAGTTTACACATACAGTTATTAGCTTGACAGAAAAAAAAAAAAATGGGAATAGGAGCCTCTTCACAAATTAAAGGGCCACCATAGGCACCCAGACCACTTCAGCTCAATTAAGTGGTATGGGTGCCAGGTCCCTCAAAGAAACTGAGGGTTAATCCAGCCTCCAGTGGCTGTCTCACTGACATCCACTAGGAGCACTTCCGCGACTCTCACTGTGAAAATCAGTGAGAAAACGCTGGATGTCCATAGGAAAGCATTGAGTAATGCTTTCATATGGGATGTTTGAACGCACGCGGCTCTTGTCATGCATGCGCATTCGCATCTGATGTCGGTAGGGGGTGGAGAGTTCCCCAGCACAGAGGGAGCCTGGCGCTGGAGAAAGGTAAGTGGCTGAAGGGAGACCCTGAGGGTGGGACCTAATGACTTTATAGTGCCAGGAAAAGACGTTTGTTTTCCTGGCACTATAGGGCTCCTTTAAATGGCTTAAAAATGCTGAGCTACATATACTAGAAATCACTGAACAGTGGTTTATGGGATATGCATGCAGTTAACCCCACTAAAAATAGCACTATGGAATATGAGCCAATATATAGTCATACGAAGTAGAATTTATTTTCCATCTCACTTATGTGCATAAAATGTAACTTTAAACTGCATAGAAAATGTAATTCACATTGGATTGTTTCCTTAGAATCAATCTTCACAACAATAGTTATAACAGGGATCAAAACATCTAGCCACTCACTAGCCATTGGCAAGTGAAAGTTCTGTGAGCAGAAATCCAAATGTTTGCAGTGGAAAATAACTTTTAGCCAGTCTAGTACCTGAAAACCTGAGCCCATGTACAAGACTATCCAATACACGGTAAAAACATACTATAAGGCAAATTAATGTTTGAGAAAATATCTGAATGAAAGGCATGATTGAATCTAAAAATCTGAATCACACCAAAATAAGCATCCAGGTACCCAATGTAAGGAATGAAAGCTCCAGACACGGAATATTACCGGTCTTACCCTGGCCAGAAACAGAAGGAAGAAAATATAATTGCCAACAAGCTAAATCTCCTGGTCACACGTCCAAATTGAAATGAGACAATGGCTTGAATTCTGATAACTATCACACAATCTGATATCCCATTTCCATTTAGTTTTCCCAAAAGGTGCACACATTTAAAGAAAGAAACTTGCCAGAATCTTTAAAAGAATCTCTATCCTCCCCAGCACTAGTCTCTCAAATAACAATTCCTACAACATGCACAAGAGCTATGTTGTACAAGATGCTAACCTACTATCACACCTTCTGTCTTTCATGGAGATGGTGACTACATTTGCATGGGTATATCATACAACACAGTGTCTAATTTTTATTTATTTTTACAAGTCACAGTCAAACATCTATGTTCCAGGCAGAAATATAAGCAGCAATGTGGCAGTGACTTTCCTGAATACACACAAGGCTTTTTTACCCTGTGTAACTGCTTACTTGTAACCCCAATCTGTCTAATTGAAGAACATAACGCAATTTAATTCCTTACTAATGGATTTTTTTATTATTATTATTTTATTTTTTTAGAGGGGCAGACAAAATGTACCTATCTGCAGCAAAGCAATAATTAAAAGGAAAATGATTAGAACATTTCTTAGAATAATCCTTGCAGCATGTAAGGAAAAGATATTTGAAGATTATTTTTTAAACAAAGGTCTGTGCCTTTTAATTACATACTGTAATAATTCCAGTAAAAATTTATTTTCTTTAAAATAAAGAAGTGAACCTGTTCCAATGGATATGCATAGGGTGAGATTCATTTTGTATTAAAGTATCAAGTGGTATTTCTTATATGGTTTATACAACTGGACCCAGGACTGATATTGTCAAATTGTATTTTCTTTTAGAAGTGATTTTCTCCTACAGACACTGCCATGCTTTCCTCATTTTAGTTTATCTGTAAAGCAAACATGTTTAAATAATTCTGAACACAGAAATTAGCCAAAAGAAATATCAGAAGAAGCACTTACCCAAATTTCTCTCAATGAGAGAGTTGTCTGTCAGAGGGATACGCTGCTTGCGGATCTTCAGGTATCCACGCTTGTAGATTAGCGATCTCACAGACTTCAGATTGGGATATCTGCAAATTAAACAATTTGTGTAGACTAAATACAGCAGAATAAAGCAGAGTTAAAGATGTATGCTCTCATAACAGCACACTGGGAAAATGATGTCACAGTAAACCAAAGATTACCTATCTTTTATATTAGAGAAATTAAAGGGATACTATAGAGCTATAAAGTTGTATTCCTGGCACGCTAGCTCCCTCTGCAAGAAAATGTAGTTCGCTCTATTTAACGATGCAGGGCCACTCTCACTGGCTGACAGAATCAACTGAGTGGTCCCAGCCAATAATCTTGAAATAGCTAGGGTTAGTTCAGTGAAGACATACAGCTTCTCCTACAGGAGAATCCAGATGTAACATGGGCTTTTTTAGAATGGTTTAACCTATTACAAACGAATGAAGCAAGGGCTGGCTTTAGTTATGGTGCTTAGAGTGTTTAAAGTGCACAGGTGACTCCTAACATGACAGTTACTTTAACGAGTATAACATTTATTCTATACACTTTTATGAACTTTACGTTGTCTAAGGTTGCTCCAACAGCTGTGCTAGCAGCAACCCCAACTCTAAGTAAACGTCACATTGACCATGTCATCTGCATGCTAAGAATTGTGGGACGCCATGTTTCCTCTCCTTCAAATGACATCCTAAACTCTCGGTAGCTAATGCTAATCCTTGTGAGATGCCATGTGCATCTACTAAAAGCAATTTGTGAGGTCTTATTGCAGAAGTGCAATGGAGATTGAACTGGAAAATTAAAATGGTTTTCCTGTCATGAAGCTAGCTTATTTTCTACAAAGTATCAATTATTTTTATGATAGCATAATTTATTGAACAGGAAGAGAGCTTTATGAATATTGTTTAAAGAAAGTCTGCATAGTCTAAGATTGATTGCAAGCATTACACAAGTAATGGACTGTCAGCTCTATTCTCAATGACTGTTCAGAAATCCTTCATAAACTTAGTTAAATAGTTACGTAGGCTGAAAAGAGACTTGCGTCCATTAAGTTCAGCCTTCCTAACATTTGTTTTTAGCTGTTGATCCAAAAGAAGACAAAAAAAACAGTTTGAAGCACTTCCAATTTTGCAAACTAGGAAAAAAATTCCTTCTGGACTCCAGAATTGCAGTCATTCAGTAAAACTGTACATTAATTAATATTTTGACATCGAAATTATGTCAAAACAAAATATTTGTTTCAATGTCGTAGCACTACAATGTACAAAACACAAATTTGCTCCCTTCTCTAATAGACAACTATCCTTACCCCCAAGCAATGTATGGTTCCACCAGCCTGAGCATGTTAATGGATGCCTTGTTCAGTTTCACAAATGTGCCATTAAAGATCTGACGAAGACGGAGAAGTTGCAACACCTTACGAACCTTTGGGCTAACACCGTTAATACTGTGAAAAGAGAAAACCACTGTCAAAATCTTGTCATGCCAACACAAAAAAACACTTAAATAAGTTTAGAAGAAATGTGGAGAAAACAAGCTCTTCTGAAGTGCCATGTGCAACAAAAGAAACTTTACTAACTAGTCTTAGGTCTATTAGGTCTGGATACAGAAAAAAGCAACAACTTGCTGTGCAATTTTACTTTTAGTCTGACTTTAAAAAAAAAAAAGTCTTGAAGTTAAAAAAAACACATCAATTTTAAACTTTATTAACAATGTTGTAGTATTTGTCTTGGTTTAGATTTTTAGGACCATTGATTATACACTTAAGTTAAACCCTTTTCACCCCCAAGCATCTAGACATTCTTCTTGCCACAATTTAATGAAATGATTCTCTATGATAAGTGTTTACTACAATGTTAAACGCACGTTCAAAAGCAAGAGAGCGTGAAACCCTCCCAAGCTGTCTAAATAGCAGAAGGGTGTTCCTAAGGATAAAATAAAACAGAGTGGACAGCCAGCAGACTGGATTGTCAAATGAAAACCACAGATAGAACAAAATTATTTTTATTTAGAGCAGCTTACCCTCGAATTCTGACCACAAAGGCCAATTTAGGTTCAGCAGGTACATAGTAGTTTCCAGCTTTGCGGGCCATTCTTGACAGACGGATTTCACGTCTGACCATTTGCCTGTATTCCTTGTAGTATCCTTCAGCTCTCTTGTATATGATCTTTCTTTTTTCTTTGCGGACCTGAATGATAAAGAAGTTAGGGCCATGTTTATAACCGGCACTTTTATGACACAGACATACCAGAATTTAAACATTCAAAATGTTATTAAGAAACTGCTATGTAAACAATTCTTTGTCAGCCTTATTTTACAGGGAGTATTATTCCATTTCTGTCATGGATTTTCAGCAAACATACTTGTACCAGGATTTTGCACCTCTCTGTGTACTACACAAAAAGATACCATGATAGCAGCTATCAACAAGCAACAGCCAACTCCAGTGGTAGGTCTCAGGGTCAAATACACAGGTTTTATTTTGGTGTTTCTTTTAGTTATACAAAATAAGTCAATACTTTTTGTATGGCATTCAAGCAAATTGCAAAAGAAACTTTGCAATATACCTATTCCTAAAATGTTAAGTTACACTTCTTGCAAAATTGTATAGATCAGGAATGTAAGACAGGTTTATCAACATTTTATTGATCCTTGTGAATGGGCATCAAACCTTTGCTTCAGAAAATGTTAGTCTACACATTAGAGAAGTCACCTTTTCAAAAATATTTATCAAAGATTACAAGATTTCTAAGTAGACAAGTAGGTTATTTACCCAACTGATTAAACACCAGTGTAATTTATATCCTTACCTTTTTTTCAGAAATGATCTTCTTGATCCTTTTGGCTTTCTGAGTAGCAAAAAGCTTCCGCCTTTTTACAAGGCTTTCTGGAACGGAGGGCAACTTCTTTCCTCTGCAAAAAATAATTTCCCAATAAATCACAATATGACAGATATGAATGTTTTCTATATACACGTGTACTTGATACCACTCATTATTATTACTTTTTTATTTATGTAGCGCCAGCAGAGTTTCTTAGCGCTGAACAATGGGTACGCATGACAAAAACACCAACTTTACTGCAATGTCATTAAAGTTAATCAACCCCCTGACATGCAGCCTAGAATCTAGCCTGGCCTGATCTAAGCTAAACCCACATGCTTCTCGTCACAAAACTCTCAAACTTTTAGCTTCAACCAGGTAGTCACTCACTCTAGTCTTTCAAGTCCACTAGATCTCATGTAAAAAAGAGCATTGTTACTTAAAAGAACCCATTACAGTACCCATCCCAGCCTCTACATAGAGTCACAGGCACTAACAGAGCATTAGAAATCCACAAAGTGGTCTACCCAGAATAGGCAAGATAACAGATGAGCCTAGCAGTAGATTACCTATCACGGGCAATGTAAACATGCCTTTGGAATCAATGCAATGAATTCATTGCCCCTTTAAACGTATGGATTTAACAGACTTTAACCCCTTAAGGACCAAACTTCTGGAATAAAAGGGAATCATGACATGTCACGTGTCCTTAAGGGGTTATAGCAGCGAGCTCAGCTCCATAATTGGTGACACAGTTATTACAAGGCCGCAGACCGAGCCGGGTGAAGCCTGGGTAAAAACCCATTTATTTCTGGGTCGCTTTGAGGACAAACACGAAAATAACGGCCATCCCTCGTCCCCCAGCCTTTAATAACACGGGGGGAGCAGGGCAGCATCGCGACGAAGGGATATTGAAACAGGATGGGTACGGATTACAAGGAGGCCATGATATACTCACTCTGTCCCCGCCATGTTCACCACCGGAAAAGAGGGAGCCACGCATGCGCAGAGCTCACTTAAAGATGCTGCTTGCGGACGTCAGCACGTCGCGGCGTGAGTTGGAATCATGCGCCGTAGCGGTGGGGCTGGAGTTGGTTTCCATCCACTCACTTCCGGATCCGGTCTGCCCAGGGTGCGACCTTCCGGAAGTGATTGTTACTTCTGTCGCCAGGGAGAGCGGATAAGGCCGCGGGATCGGAGCTGGGGACCTGCGGCCGTGTGAGTAATCCACTGAGAGACCCACTGAGTGACCGACTGCCGGGCCTAGTGATCCCCGCCGGGCCTCCCAGCCTCTGTCATTGATATAATGTGTAATAATGAGTGCCTGGCCCGGCACAGCGCTGTGTAATGTATTCAGTGTCAGACATGACACCCGGCCCCGGGCTGGACATTGCGGGGGGCCGTGTCTCTGGCTGGCTGTCAGTCACAGGACATGTAGACCGTCACCCATTAGACAGCTATCCAGCTTCCCATTGAAATATTGAGAATAAACCCCCTCCCCCTTGGGGTCACTGAGACCTATTGTTTAACCCCTTAAGGACCAAACTTCTGGAATAAAAGGGAATCATGACATGTCACACATGTCATGTGTGCTTAAGGGGTTAAAGGACCACTATAGTGCCAGGAAAACATACTAGTTTTCCTGGCACTATAGTGCCCTGAGGGTGCCCCCCCCCCCCTCAGGGACCCCTTCCCGCCAGGCTCTGGGGAGAGGAAGGGGTTAAACTTACCTCTTTCTCCAGTGCCGGGCGGGGACCTCTCCTCCTCTTCGGCTGAATGTGCATTCGCGGCAGGAGCCGCGCGTGCATTCAGCCAGTCCATAGGAAAGCATTCTCAATGCTTTACTATGGACGCAAGCATCTTCTCACTGTGAAAATCACAGTGAGAAGCGCGGAAGCCCTCTAGTAGCTGTCAATGAGACAGCCACTAGAGGCTGGATTAACCCTATTATAAACATAGCAGTTTCTCTGAAACCGCTATGTTTATAGAAAAAAGGGTTAATCCTATCTGGACTTGGCACCCAGACCACTTCATTAAGCTGAAGTGGTGTGGGTGCCTATAGTGGTCCTTTAAGGGGTTAATGGAACAGAATCGTTATATAAGGACTGTGACTTTACCACACACATTTCTAGGCTCTTATATTTATGGAGAGCATGTTGCCTTCTATTGTTATTATTATTTATAAAGCGCCAACAAGTTCAGCAGTGCTGTACAATAGGGGGTTGAGGGCCCTGCTCAGGGAGCTTTACATGCTAGAGACAGTGGGGTATGGTGATACAAAGGGTAACGGTAGTGTAGAAAAGTGGGTTGCTAGATACGTTTGTTAATCTAATAGGAAGGGAAGGCTGTTATCAGCTTTCCTGAAGAAGTGAGTTTTTAATTATATGGGTTTTTCTTTTTGTAAATGTAACTGTGTAAAGCAAAAACAGATTTGGTGTCACATTTCTAGAATTGGTTCCATCCCTATGGAAACCAATGGAAGAGTTCTGGTGATTGCTACTTTTTTCTTCTTTTTTAAACAGCTAGGTATACATAATCCTCAGTATGCAAAATAAATATTTTAGCTGTACATGTTGAGTAGTTATTGTTATGTAGTTGTGAAATGATGGCATGTTACCCTATTTCTTTGCAAAGATGTGTCATTATACAGTGCTGTAGATCATAATATAAGTTGGCAGTGTTTCACTTTGTACATGGATGGCCAGTGTCAGGGAGCAACACGTGTACTGCAGTCATGTTTAGTGTTGAAGTTAATATTGTTAACTCTGTTTGAAAGAAAAGTAAAACTGGATATGCAGCTTGTCTACTAGCACTACGATGCGCACACGAAAGCCACTGATCTAATGATTGACTGATTTAGACGTCCCTCGGTTTCCGGGGTTTTTTTGCAGGGGAAGAGTGGTTCACACTGCACCCAGAGGTCTCACATTTGAAGACAGCTTTATTTGCAACTACTGTGTATTCTCTTTACAGTTGCCCACAGCTAGAGTGCAGTGCGGTAACATGAACCCACACACTCTCACCAGCCCTTGAATAGTTAGATTCACCTGTCACGTAGTCTGTCACATACTCCCAACCTGTTACATAATGTCACAAGTCACATACATGCAGTTGGTACTCCTTTCATATGCAGCTACCAAGTCAACCACCCAGTCATATTAAAAGCCTGATCCTCCTACCATTCACATAACTTTACCCACCCAGTCATATAACACCACGTACTCAACAACCTATATTTCTCCATCAATACAGTTAAAGGGATACCCCAGCCCTAAAGCAGAGCTTGGCAAGTTTGCTTTGAATCTAGGGACCAGTTTTTTTTGTTTGTTTGTTTTTTTTAGCTAACAAAGCTTAAATTTTCAATGACAAAAATAAATTTTTTAAAGGGAGACTATTGTCACCTGAACCACTACAGCTTAATGTAGTGGTTCTGGTGTCTATAGCCTGTCCCTGCAGGCTTTCCAATGTAAACACTGCCTTTTCCAAGAAACGGCAGTGTTTACATTGCTTTCTAGTAACACCTCTAGTTACTCAGATGGCCACTAGAGGGGAGTCCTACCACAGTGCAGAACCTACGTTCAGCGCCTCCTGAGTAGGGAGATGCTAATTAGTGCAGCATTTTGCTGTGCATGCACAATACCATCCCAATGTTTTCCCATGTGTAAATCAATTTATGTCAACCCAGCTTCCCTACACTGGACCACATGGAAAGGATCCTACTCCGTACCTTTGGGAAGCTGGTGTGGATCCTTTCCCTGGGGTCCAGTGTGACTACTGTCCTCTTGTTTCTCTTGCTGTTTAGTGATGCCAGGGCTTGAGTGATCTCATATTCCAACTCCATGCATCACGTGCGATGCAGAAGAACAGGAAGTTCGCAGCTCCCTCGCTTTGCAACAGTTTCTGATATTTTGCCATTTTCCCCAGGTTTTTTAACTTTAGATCTCAAGTTTAAACAGCAGGAGCTTGTTTGAGAGGGTCTTGTGACTTCGATTAGGCCTTCCAGCACTCATCTGCCTTGTGATTTTGATGTTTCCCAGTCGCCTAAATCTGAGGAGTGGGTGGCTATCCTGGTGGGAGAGATGGCTGATCATCTTCCTGGGAGAAGCACATTAATACATAGCAGTGCTCCTTAAGTCCTGGTGTACTCACACTGTGGAACAGTGTGGGTTATCCAGGTTCCCAGCTTAATGAAGTGGTCTGGATGCCAGGTCCAGCTAGGTTTAAGTCTTTTTGCAGTAAACATAGCAGTTTCAGAGAAACTGCTATGGGTTAATACAGCCAGCGTCCGTAGGAAAGCATTGAGAATGCTTTCCTATGAGATTGGCTGGCTGAATGCGCATTCAGCCGATGACGGAAGAAGAGGTAGGAGAGTCCCAGTGCCGAGGGAGCCCGGCGCTGGAAAAAAGGTAAAGGATTAACCCCTTCCTCCCCCTTCAGCGCCACGGGAGTGGGACTCAGGGCACTATAATGCCAGGAAAACAAGTTTGTTTTCCTGGCACTATAGTGGTCCTTTAAGGCCTTTTAGCTTTCATATTTATCCAGCAATACAATAAAAACAGTTATATAGCATATGAGCAAGACACAAGGAGTTGAGGTGGTGTGGGAACCTCAAAGTGCTTTTGAGAACAGTCTTGCAGATTTTAACACAGTCTAGGTAAGAATTCAGAGGGAATGCTCAAACATACCCGAGGAACACCTTACTTGTTTCTGCTTTAATTTTGGTCTGAAGCAGAGTCAACCAGTGGCATGGTCTTGTGAGAAGCTATATACCTTGTGCACCCTTAGCAGTTGTCGGTGGACAACACGTCTTCCACTCTCCGACTGGTAACCCATCCACAAAAGAGCACTCAACCCCTTCAGTCTGTCCACTGAAAATGCCTCCCAAGCAAGAAGGCACCCATAATACACAGAGGATATTCAAGAGATACTTAGACTTCTTAAATGGCCAGATAAGACGGCACTATCTGCTGGCTCCGGACCGAGCCTGCGTCTGTGTTGACATCTCTATGTTGCAGGGTAGCCTGGTAGGTGTGTGCACCCCTTACCTTTTCACTATGCATATTAAGACAGGCACCCCCAGAATTGGTATGCGCTCAGGCGGCATAGACTGTCTTTCCAGGTTGTATGTTGTATGTCAGGACATTTGTTTTAATTATCAAGCCACCATCAATATACACAAAACACTGTTTGTTTTGTGCTTGAATTGTTCATTGCAGATTTAGATTGTTTCACATCTGTGTCTTGGCAGCGGTGCTATTTTTCATTATTTTATTACCTTTTTATTGTTTCTGTTCCTATAAGTGACTATAAACTTGCAAGATTTATTATATAAAAAAACTGTGGTTGACACTCTTTTCTATAAGAGAATATAACGTCTGACACTTACTGACATCCTTGCTAATGTTCCCACATATCAAAAATAAAGAGATTTAAAACAAAACCCAAGTAGTGTAAACATGGAAATGCAAATAGAGGAGACTATAAGGTACCCTGTGCGCAGCACATAATCATATATTTGAGTATGGTCCAAATGTTTACATTTAATTTATTTGTGTCTGTTAGGAGTTAACCAACTGTCTCATCTACAGTTCTGTTTCCTGCACAGATTCTAACATTTCTAATGCATTATGGAAGATTCATTCCTCTTTTTAATTTTTTTTTTTTTTTTTCTCCTTTCAGATTCTTTTATTGAGATTTGTCCTGCAGAATAAATTAGTCATCAAGTATGGGTAAGTTTTTTTTATTTATTTTACTCTCAGTGATCATCTTGGGAAACAAGTGAGATATTTGGCATTTATGTGAAGTCCACTAGACAAGGATAGTACAATCTCAGCTTGTCAGTTGCATGCATCACCCAATACATTTGGTTGAGTGGATCGGCTTATTTGGGAAAGGCAAACTACAAGGGGCTAATTTACTAAAAATAACTCTACTTCAGAGCTGATAACAGAAGCTAAAATATCTGAAGCATATCAGATTTAAAATGGAGCTTAGAAACATGGCCCTAGAGCAAGTGGGTGGGCCACAGTATCGATATTTTGAGTACAATAATAATTTAGCACACTAGAGGGAGCACAACAAATAGACACAAACATGTCTGTATATACATAAAAAAATGTTCACAAACATGACATGCTTCTGAATTTCCATAGGTTGTTGCAGATCTGCAGGGCCTGGGATTAAGCTGACCTTTTCACCCAATGTTGTTCCCTCCATTTGAGGAGAGACCATAGGAGCATTTTATTTGATGCATTTTAAAATATGTTTGTACGGGACTGAATTATTTTCTATTTTGATTTGCATGAGTTGAAAGCAAGTGAAGTCCCTGAATCTCCCTGTGTTCTAGAAATTGTTCTATAACCAAATTGAACATGTGGGAATTGTTACTAAACTTGGCCTTCAAAATAAGGAGATGGGGTGAACCCTATAGTGTTTTTCCCACAGTGCTCGATTCATGGCCGGTCCTGCCTCCATGGCTGAGATCAATGATTTCTGCATTTGCAATGCTTTGCTAAAGGAACACATTGAAAGGCTACTGCATAGGCAGGGCAAAATGCTGCGCTGCACCAAAGATAAAACCATCCGATTTAAAAATAGCAGAGTAGCAGCCACTAGAGGCATTTAAGCCATGCACTGTAAACATTGCCATTCCTGTGGAACTGCCTGCAGGATTAAATTACAGGGAAATGGCACCCAGACAACTTCATTGAGATAAAGTGGTCTGGATGCCTATAGTGTCTCTTTAAAGGAACACTGTAAGCTCCATAACAAGCTCACCTAGCTGTATGTATTTTAAATTTTTTTATATTTTGTTTGGTACCAGGAGTGCCCTGACACTATCCCATGGTAAGCAGTCAAATCATTTTAGTACTATTTGACAACTTACATGGATCCCCTGTCTGTCTGCACCACGTCCTATCTTTTCTTGCAGGAGAGGCTGGATGTCTGTATAGAATAATACATGGCTGATCCAGGATCAGACTCATTGACTGAGAGCCCTCAGCTGACGATCTCAAGCAATGAGCCTGGTTTAGCATGGCTCGGCTTAACACCCCATCCATCAGATCTGGTGAGTGGAACAGCTGCTGTTAGCAGCCAAAAGCATCAGTTTATTAACCCCTTAAGGACACATGACATGTCATGATTCCCTTTTATTCCAGAAGTTTGGTCCTTAAGGGGTTAAAGTTTTGTTTGTGAATGGAGCCATTCTGAACAATCACCGGAGTCAATGATTGTGTACAGCGATGGCCTGTGCTCTGTCAGAAGGGAAGAATGTGTGCATGGATGGCATACACTTGCCCAGTGTGCACATGCAGTATGTTTAGGAGCACAGGGACAGGACCACTTTGCACTGTAACCTAAGCAATGAGCACAGGTTGTAATATTGTATTTTAATATGTGAACACAGCTGAATAGAACTACATTTGCCATTTTATCAAATGATGCATTCAGAAAAGTGGAAGCATACTCCCAACAGCAGTTGAGGCACACCTTAGTTAAGTATACCAAAAAACTCAATACATTATTGTATAAGCATGTAAGTGGACATCTGGGATCTTCAGAAAGTCACAGTTCCACTTTATTCTTAAAATTGGCTCACACCAAGCTTTAATTAAAGCTCTTTGTGTTGTTTAAGTTATCTAAGCCAGTGCTCAGCATTTCCATTTTCCCACTTGCCATTGGCAAGTGAAAATTCAGTCCTGCACGTTGATATTGACCCATAGTGAGTGTTCCATAGACTCCCTAGGTTTGCACTGGTGAGTAACATTTAGGCCTGTTTAGTAGTGTAGCATTGATCAGAGGTATTTGGTATAATTTTATTTATTTATAAAATATTTATTTATTCTTTTTACAACAACCATTTAATTTTATTTTGCTTTAAAACAGATGGTGAAGAGAAGACATATGGCGGCTGTGAGGGCCCTGATGCAATGTATGTGAAACTGATCTCATCTGATGGCCATGAGTTCATTGTTAAAAGGGAACATGCTCTAACTTCTGGAACAATCAAAGCTATGTTAAGTGGTCCAGGTAGGTGCAAAGCTTGAGGGAGAATAAAGTATTCTTATAACATGTAGTTCTGTTTGTCCTTTGCCTCTCATTGGGGTATTGAAAGCACATTATTAGGGCTAGTTTAGAAGTCCCCAATTTCATATTGTCCCCTACAAAGACTTTATTCAATGAAAGCCACATTAAATTTGCTCATACAAGCATTGTAGACCAAACAGAAACAGTCTGCTTAGAAATAGTGCATTTGCAATCAAGTAACAAATAAGAAGTGCTTGTCTGACACATTGGTTTAATACAGTGTACATATAGATCCCAAGAGAAAGCAAAGATGAAAATGGTGGGGGTGGGTCAGCCCTTTCAAAACTATAGTCCAAGCAGGCTATAAAGGAGATACTGATCTAACCACCAGGATTAGTGTTCTAAGATCCAAAGGGCGAGGCTCTCGGCATCGAATTTGGATCCAAAGAATGCGCCTCGTTGGATTCAGTAACACCCGAGGTGCGATACTCGTCAGATTCTATTTAAAAAAAAAAAAAAAAAACTATTGCATCTATACCACAGGTATACCTGAATAAAGTATGAGTGGAGGCCACACACCGTTCCAAAGAACAGATCTCAAGTAAAACTCCTGTAGAAGAATACCCACTATTGACCAGGTCAACAAGGGAGAGAAAGGATAAAGATCACAAAAGGATACCTTTATGATCCCAAACATTCTCTACCAAAATTTTCTACTGATTGTAAATGAAAACTGACTAATATTAACACCATCAATTTAAACTAACATAGTAAATACACAACCATTTGAATTGGGGGAGGGGGTGGCCACACATTTTTTATTTTTTTTCTTCTAAGAATAAATTCTGCCTTTTTCAACTTGCAGGAGAAAAATGTAGTTTTTTGTTTCCTCCTGATTTATTTCAGTATGAAAGAAAAGTGGATCAACTGTACGAGAGTGAAACCAGGGACAATGCTGTCCAAAACCTAATCTGCTGTTTTATTTGCTAAAGTGAGAATTCAGAGTGAATTTCAAATATACAGTCAAAATACTTTGGCTACTCTGGCCTTAAATTTGAAATTCACTTTAAATTCTCACATTATTAAATAACCCTGAAAGTTTTGAACAGGTGGACTTTTCCATTAACTGCTAATAGCATAGCTAGTTACCTAACCAGGGGTTGATATTCTCTACATGTGTACATTCCTCTATGAAGCATCCCAATCCTGTCGGTCAGTATTTATTACTTGTCTCTTATATATTATACGGATCTTGTTTATTATATGTACGCTACATGTATATTGGGTTATTGAGTGAAAGCAAAAATGCAGTATCCTTGGTAGGCAATCTTCACTTATAATTCATTAATGTCACATTTATACAATTCAGTAGCATTTCTAATTTTTTACCTTCTCCAGACCATATAAAAGACATTGTTTTAATGAGGGATTTTTAGATATTTTGTGACTTTATGTGCAGCAGTTTGTCATTGACATTGAATCAGTTTGCTGCATTTTATCCTTAACAACTGTGTGTTTTTACAGGTCAGTTTGCGGAAAATGAAACCAATGAAGTGAATTTTCGAGAGATCCCCTCCCATGTACTATCCAAAGTCTGCATGTATTTCACTTATAAAGTTCGTTACACAAACAGCTCCACAGAAATCCCTGAATTCCCCATTGCACCTGAAATTGCACTGGAGCTTCTGATGGCTGCAAACTTCCTAGACTGTTAAATAAAGTAAATTATGTTAAATTACTATGGATTTTTTTTTCTTTTTGTATTTAAAAGCTCATGTTTGGTTAGCTTTATTATTTTTTTTTCTTTCATGTAGCATGTTTGCCACCTTTTCTAAGCGATGTGTAGTATATGGCATTATGGAGTATCATACCCACTGTTTGGGCGAAGCAAGCGCTTAGACAAGTATTTTCACCTTTTGCTTGCCTTTATTTTCACAACCTGTCCTAAATAAACATCTCTGACAACTCAATGTTGACGTTTGTTTTTGGACATTATTATATGAAGATTGTTCATTTCTTTAAAAGATCATTGATTATTGTTTAGTTTTCAAGTTGTTAAATTATCTGTCCAAAATCTTTTCTATTTAAGGGGGTTTAGTTTTTTTTTTACTTTGTGAGGTTTTTGGTTTGTTTTTGTTTTGTTTTTCGCTCATTTAAGCTTTGCATTGAATAATTGTGCAGACATAAACAATGGTTGCAGAAAACATTAACATGAAAAGGGCATAATCATAAAAGAAGATTTTTGGTACCTAGTATACAGTACAATTAGACACAAGAAATGTAACAATTAAATCAGGCAGTAAATCAGCCTCTTTTGTATATCAAAAGGTGGTAGGGGTCAAAATTAAAACAGATAATGTTGCCCAAAATTTGTGTTTACAAAAAAAAGGAAAAAATCTGCTCTCATACTGTGACATTAGTACTGTAATCTAGTCTTCCTGTAAGGCAAAACATTGCATGTAGGGTTAAGACATAAAGGACAGAGAAGGGTTGGGGTCCGATATGAATTAACATAGAATAGAGCGAACGAGACAAAGATAAGACAAAAAGGGGGGGAGGCTATTATTCAAGGGGGAAAAAAACATGGGAAAAGAGTCTATGTGCATGTTAATTGGGGGGGAACCAGCAAGGAATCGTCAGATATCCTCAAGGAGCTGTGGAATACAAAACTTTCTAGTGAGTGTGAGCTCCCATACTAGGAACATAAATGTAATTTATACCGCTTAACAGACACCCCCCCCCTTCTGGCCCAGATCATGAAAGATGCAATCTCTATTCATGACTATTTCAAATTTGCAAAAACATTGAATTGGGCTACACCATTTTTTTGGACTAAACTTCGAATGTTAAGGACCACCGGAAAAGCGTAGTCCATTTAAATGAAAAAAGAGAGATCCAATTTAGAGTCCCATAATATGAAAAAGCAGACGGAGTGAGTCCATACGGAAACACAGGACAAGAGACCACATAAAAAGTTTTGGTAACTATATAGACCAGGAAGGAACACAGGAAGTGTACCTAAGTGGTATAGATATCTACTCAAAAAATTGAGAGACGAGTGTTTGAATCTACACAGAAGATAACTGTCAGACAAAGCACTTAACTGATAGATAAATAAATGTTAGTATAAATAAATACTAAGAAACCAAACAAACGTGAACCTAAAATAGGTACTAAAAACTTAACCCCAAAACCAGTGTCCTAATGATATAAAAACAAATCGTCCAAATGGCCAAAATACATGGTCAAAGGGTACTGAAATGTGAAATCTGCTAATAGGGATTTCAGGTAAGTATGATAGTATCAAATATCAAAATTTAATGGTATTGAGTATCAGCCAGAATACATCTATCGAAAGTGTCCTTCTAATTGCTTGGTATAGAGATATCACAAATATTGCATATGTAGAAAGCCTGTGAGAATGACAGACGGTCCCCAGGCGACTTGGTAGGTATAGAGTATAACTTGAAAACTAAATATCGGCTGATATATTCGAATACCTAAAAGCTAGGGAACTAAATAAAGGTCTTGATAGTGTGAGAAAGTCACTGTTTAGTCTAGAAGGTACATGAGGATTTTCCCGCTAACAGATCGTTGTTAGTTATAAGTCTGCTATTACCCAAATATTGGAAAGCCTGTATAGCTGAAAATTCCTCACAGGATACCAAGATGCTGTGGAATAAAACTAATATCAATTGGTATATCTACCAGATAGCAACAGTCTGAAGAATTGGATAATAGCTAACAGCCCGATGGAGGAACTGGAAGGCAAGATAAATACCTTGCAGGATACTAATATACTATAGAGTTTAGCTTATATCGATTGGTATATTCTGAAATATTAGATGAAAATTAGATCTAATACTCGTCAGTTCCGTGCAGAAATATGCTGTTAATGTTGCGGTTACTCTCTTAATATAGATCTGTAAAAGCACTCTCACGCGGAGCTGATGCTAGAGCTAAACTGCCCCTGTGCCTTCGAGGGCACCTATCTCTCGTCCCACTAACTACTAGATACAAAATATAAATGAAAAAGAAAAGTATCTAAGGAAAATACATTTGAAAGGGATAGTAAAAACTATCCAATGCTGCAACGATGTGACAGAAATGTAAGGTGAAAGTTAGATCTAGTACTAGTTGTCAGGTTATGCAGAAATGTACCTGTTTTCCTGGCACTATAGGCTCTTGGAGAGTCCCCTTCCCTCGACGCTGAAGGGTTAAAACCCCTTCATACACCTTAATCCAGCTCCCTCGGCACTGATGACCTCTCCAAATGGAGCCGCATGGGCGCGCACATTCAAACCCCCCCGTAGGAAAGTAGGGATCGAATGATTATCGGTTTTGCCGATATTCAGTTTTTTTTGTAAGTATCGCCCGATAATCCATGACAATACCGATAATGAATGAGAGGGCCGGCGAGTCCATAAGGCGGCACAAGTGGCAGGGGGTGGAGGTGGTAAGGAACACTATGGGGAGAGGGGGGCTGGTAAGGAACATTAAGGGAGGACAATAAGGTATAGGGGAGGAAAGGGAAAAGGAACACTGAGGTAGGGGTGGGGAACCACTAAAAGAGAAGGGAGAGGAATGGGGGTGGGGTACTAAGAGACAGTTAACAAGTGGGGATAAGGGGAGTTCCTACCGCACATATTTACACACAAACACACATACTGCATATCTCTTTAGTATGTCTGAATCTAAAGATGACAGTGATAAGCTAGATGTGAAATGAAGGTTTAAAAAAAAAAGTTGTCAACCACTGACTTACAGAATGTCTTTCAAATTTGATTTAATTGGGAAGGAATGTCGACAAATATAAAATAAAAAATAAGGCCTTTGTTGAGTTTTTTTATTTTTTTATTTTCCAGTTTGCGTGTTTTGACTATAAATGTGAAATTCACTTTGAAGTCTCACTTAACTGAATAACCGTGTAATTCATGATGTAGAACAGAAGCATGTGTTTAGAAAGCAAATATAAGAAACTGACTTTGTGATCAATTTATCTGAAAGCAGACTGGTTCAGCGGTGACATTATCGCCATGTGAATTCAGTATCTAATAACTCTGAAAAATGGGAACTGAGAAATAAACAATAAATCATTTGCCCCACTGCCTTTGCATGTGGAGACGTCAGTGAGAGACATGTGGAGAGAGATTATTTCAAGCGGAAAGCTCTGCCCACTGAGACCGTCAAGACTGCTGAGATTTACACTGTGCTAGGTAGAGCTATAGGTGGTTTTGTAGCCGATCAAGGTGGACTCTAATCGTGTCCACCATCGATCAGAGCTCAGTGCATTAGGGGACCTGAAACTTATCTGCACTCCACACTTTTCTTTATTAATACTGCTCTTATATTCTGGAATTTACCAGGAGATCCTATTATGGCCTTTGTGTTGGCACAGAAAATACAAAACGCTCTGGAATTTATTATTAAAGGACCACTCTAGGCACCCAGACCACTTCAGCTTAATGAAGTGGTCTGGGTGCCTGGTCCAGCTAGGTTTAACCCATTTTTTCATAAACATAGCAGTTTCAGAGAAACTGCTATGTTTATCAGTGGGTTAAGCCTTCCCCTATTTCCTCTAGTGGCTGTCTCATTGACAGCCACTAGAGGCGCTTGCGTGCTTCTCACTGTGATTTTCACAGTGAGAGCACGCCAGCGTCCATAGGAAAGCATTATGAATGCTTTCCTATGTGACCGGCTGAATGCGCGCGCAGCTCTTGCCGCGCGTGCGCATTCAGCCGACGGGGCGGATCGGAGGAGGAGAGCTCTCCGCCCAGCGCTGGAAAAAGGTAAGTTTAAACCCCTTTCCCCCTTCCAGAGCCGGGCGAGTATGTTTTCCTGGCACTATAGTGGTTCTTTAAACCTGTTTTGTAGTTTGGCAGCAGAAAGTCTGCAGGACTAATTCATTAACTTTGTCTTTACTCCTGTAAGGAGGTCCATTTTGTCGGCAACAATATTGTAAAATCCCCTAGAAGTGATGCCACAGGAAATGTGCTAGAGTGGCTATATTTGACTATGGCTAATATTAATTGTTCATTTAACTGCATAATTGGAATAGTGGCCTAAACAGGGAACATTTATATAAGAACAGAAAAGAATATTCAAACATCTGGAATGAACCAGCCTGGCTGAATATTAAACTGGAAATAGAGAAATAATAGAAATAACTGTGTAATAAGAGACTAATGCTAGAAAAAGTGTATAGATAATGTAGTAAAGTCAAAGTGCAATACTGCCTCAAATGGCTCACCTCTAGGAATACCTAGAATATCTCCGTGCTACTACTATGGTCGAAAATTGCGACAGGCTACTGACTTTAATAAACACTAAAACTGGTCAAGCCCTATAGTCATGAACAACTGAGTAGCTGATTAACGTAGGCTGAAATTGATGCCTATAGAATGGTCACTGGATCGGGTCTGACTGTGTATACAGAATGCTGCGTGGTCAGTGTATAGAAGTGGTTAGTAACCTGTATCTATGGAGGCTACGCCACAATGAATATCCACAGAACCCACGCTTGTATTGGGGGACAGCATATGAATCTACCCTCATATATGTATATATGTATCAAGGTCTAGCATTAAGGAGGATTGATAGATCTCTCTATGAACTAGTGCTAGATCTCAGTAAAAATTAACCTATAATGGTAACATACATAATTGACAGAGGGAAATTGAGTATGCACATGGAGTCCCCCTGGTATAACAGAAGGAAAATACCCTTTAAAGGTTAACTAATGTGACCATGGAAAATAAAAGGAGAAAAAGGTGAAAAAATAAGAATTAAAGTGACTCTATGTGCAGAACCATACTTAGGATGTTCGTTACCTGCACATAGTGATAGATAGCCCTAGGTGAGAGAAAGTGTGAAGGGAAAAATGAGCCCAAAGAGCCCGACGCGCGTTTCGGTGCTTTCTAAGATGCACCTTCGTCAGGGGCTGACTGGAGACTGATTCCCAGTCTCCTTTTAAATGTATTGAGGTACCGGTATCCAGAGAAGTGTCCAATCATAAAGCTGATATCAAATGCAATCCGGCGCCAACAACCCACGTGGTGATTATGTAAATGAGTTGTGCCGTATCAGCCAATCACGCTCATGTTGTAATGACGTGTGTTCACGAGCTGTTTAAACAGCTGAGTGCTGAAGCAAGACAGGTCGGATTCTGTATATATTATCCGATGTGTTGTAGCTGAGAATCGCTACAGTTGCTAACCACTGTGTTTCTATTTACAACAGAATTCGGCTTCACAATCGTCACTTGGTAAAAAGTTTAGATTGTAGTTGGCTATTATGTGATAAAGTATTGCAGGATCAAGAAGAAATGAATGAATGAAGTTTGACTTCGGTCATAAGATACATAGTCTGTAATGGTATAATACCGTGATGCAGTATGGACAGACTTCATCCACTTACGCATAATAGGTGACCCTATAATACTTTATGAGTTCGTTGTTAGATAGTAGGTCTCACTAATTTTCAATAATAGACTGCTAAGAATTAGCGCCGAACAGATTAGTCAGGTGCTATATTATAAGTCATAGTGGCTTAGTTGTGGTATTGAGAGAGATTGGTGGATGCTGATAGCAATAGTTTAGTTATTATAGGACTGGGGATGACACCCCAAACGGATACTGTACTTTAAGTAGAGAAAGGAAAATAGAAAAATAAGAAAATTAGAATAAATATAATCATCAAATATTTGAATACATATTAGTAACATTTTAAGATGATATTACACTTGTAATAATGCGTAAAGAAAGATTGCTTGAAATGGCTAGAGATCAGGCTTGGCTGACTAGGAGACAAAGAATGTCATAGTTTTAATAGGTAGATGAAACCAGAGTTTAAAAGGTCCTAGAAATATTAAGAACCAAAGAGCCAGTATATACCTGATATATAGCTCTCAAAGAGTGACTAGTATCAAGGGGTATCCAGCTTAGTATTAGTTGGAAGAAAGGTTATTTTGAGTGCTCATATAAAAGGAGTATACGAGAAACCTTCGTTTAAACCGGACGGGGAGAGGGTTTTAAGTGTAAATATCCAATAACTCTCTCTTTGGAGTAATTTTCGGTCTAGGTCTCCCTTTCTGGGACCCAGTTTAATCTTCTCAATGCCGTTAAAACGTAGGCAATGTGCTGAGCCGTCGTGTCTTAGTTTCAAATGTCTAGATATTACTGTATCGATTTGTCTCGATGGATTCACGGAATTCACATGTTCTAGTATTCGATTTTTGAATGGTCTGAAGGTCTTGCCCACATATTTAAGGCCACAACTACAGGTTAAAAGATAAATTAGTCCTGCCGTTTGACAATTAAAGAACGTGTTAGCCTCATATATCTGTGTATTTGTAGAATTCGAGAATGTTTTGGATTTTTTTCGAATATACTTGCATGCCTTGCACCGGCCACATTGAAAGGTGCCGATTGCTGGAGTTTTTAGCCAGGTTCCTTCAGTTTTTGGTAGAGCAAGATGACTAGGTACTAATAGATCTTTTAAATTGCGCCCCCTTCTGGCTGTGAGTGACGCATATGGAGTCAGAACTTCCTTTAGGTGCTGATCATGATAGATGAGGGGCCAGTATCTGCTCAGTATGTGTTTAACTGGGTCCCACCCGGAATCAAAGGTACCGATGCATCTAATCAGAGTTTGAGGCTTATCCTTTTTAGGAATGTCAACAAGTAGAGTTTCCCGCTCGGTCATTAGGGCTCTGCGATAGGCGGATTTAAGACATCTATTTGAGTAACCCTTCGTCTTGAACTGCAATCTTAATGTCTTGGCTTTAATTTTAAACTCCTCTAGTGTTGAGCAATTTCGTCTGACCCGAAGGTATTGTCCTACTGGTATTCCATTTTTGAGAGTATTTGGATGGTAACTTTGCCAGTTCAGGAAATTATTGGTGGCTGTAGGCTTCCTGAAAAGGGTAGTAGAGATATGGTGTCTATCTTCTGTGGTTTTTAGAGTTAAGTCAAGGAAGTTGATATGGTTACCTCCCACCTCATGTGTCAGTTTTAGATTTAAGTCATTGATGTTTAGTGCTTTAACAAATTCATTGAACTGTTCATTGGAGCCTGTCCATACAATCAGCACATCATCTATATAGCGTTTCCAAAATCTGATGTGGTCATGGTGCTCTGTAAATTGTGGGCTGCATACGATATTCTGTTCCCACCACCCCAGGTGGAGGTTTGCATATGAGGGAGCACAGGTTGTCCCCATAGCAGTACCTCTCACCTGGTGGTAGTAGGTACCCTCAAAAAGGAAATAGTTGTGCGTAAGGATGAATCGTAGCAGTTGGAGCACAAACTGGTTGTGGTCATTTAGGGACGGATCGCGTGTCCGAAGAAACCATTGTACGTTATTTATACCTATTGTGTGGGGAATAGAGCTGTACAGCCCTTCCACGTCCAGACTGCATAGTTTGGCCTCACTGGGTAATGTTAGTTCATTCAGTGCTTTTAAAGTATGCTTCGTGTCCCTAAGATACGAAGGGAGGGTCCTGAGCAGGCCACTCAGGATACGTTCTACATAGATACTACAGTTTTGAGTGAGGTTGTTGTTGCCTGATACTATGGGTCTCCCAGTTAAGATTTCTTGCTGCTTGTGTATCTTCGGTAGTGAGTAGAATGTAGCTATGGTGGGTTTTTTATTGAACATGAATCTATATTCGTCCAGGCTAATTAGTTTTCTTTGGAGAGCCTGATCCAAAATATTCTTCAGTTCCACCAGAAATCTGTTTGTTGGGTCTGTTGGGAGTGCTGTGTACGTGTCTGTATCATCAAGTATTCTATGCACCATTTGGACGTATTTGGTCCTGTCTAGTATTACTAAGTTACCCCCTTTGTCAGATGGCTTGATAATAATTGTCTCGTTCCTTTTTAGTTTGGTCAAAGCTCTGTTTTCCTGTATACTCAGGTTCTTAGGATGAAATCTGGTCTGTATTCCCATATCTATTGCCTCTATTTCTTTGCAAGATAATTCTACAAATAGATCAATATATTTGTATTCTGGTATATGTGGGGTGAACTTACTTTTATGTTTTAGGTCAGTGAATGGAGCTAAGTGAGTATTGGATGAATCATTACTATTCAGCAGTTCTACCAGATTGTCCAGTAAATTCATATCTCTAGGTTCTAGGCCCAGTCTGGTTGCTTGTTTAGTTCTCTGAATGCAGTGGTATTTATGAAGAGCCAGTTTTCTGGCAAACAAATGGATGTCCTTCGTCCACCCAAATTTATCAAATTTGGGTGTAGGGACGAATGACAGTCCTTTTTTCAAAAGTTGTATTTCAGGGATAGTTAACTGATAGGAGGAGAGATTAATTATCTGGCTCTCCTTGGTTAGTAGGCTTTCCTCCGTTGGAAGCCTCTTGTGGTTTTGCTCCTTGTATTCCTCTGTGGCCTGGCGTCCTGATTTGCTCTGGCTAAAAAATTGAACCCCTTTTTTAGTATGCTTTTTGGATTAGACTCTGAAGGAGTGGAAGAGCTATCAGAACCAAGTTCTGGTTCCGAACCACTTGTGTCGTACTCAGAGGTAGAAAACTGATCAAATTCTACCCGTCTGTTCAGTTTGGATCTTTGGTATATATTTCCTGTTTGGAAATCCTTGGCATCCCTTATAAATTTAGAATGTTTTCTAGTTTTGATAGAGGATTGAAAACGTTCCAATTGATTTTTTAATTTTATTTCTAGTTGTTCAAAACTATTCTCTGTTTTGAACGTTTCAATTTTTTCTACCTCTTCATCAACTTCCTTATTGATCTTATCAAGTCTTTGTTTCTCTGACCTACAGAGGATGTCCATAAACTTCCGGGAGCATGTATTGGCTGCCTCTTCCCACTCCTTAATGAATTCAGTTCCTTCAATGTGGGGACCAGGGATGTTTTGGACTCTGAGTCCCCTTGGTATTAGTTCTTTACTCAGATATTTTTCGAGAGAGGCCACTTCCCACCCAGCCTTAATTTGTTGTTTAAATAGGTATGTCAGGTGATTAAAAGCGGCGTTAATGTTAGTATACGTGACGGTCTCATTAAGGTGTCCTTCTGAGAACACTGAGTCAATGTCTATGTACCAGGCGTCTCTATTTGCTTTATTAGATAGAAATCCAGCCATATTCAAGCAATTTTAAGGTAATAGGTATTGAAACCCTGTGAGTAAACACATATAATAAGAAAAATTCCACCTATGTGAGTAGGTCCCAAAAACGGAACCGTCTCGGTGGTGGAAATACACCTTTATGGACACTCCAGTAGTGTCCTGGGGCTTAACCCCTATTGATGAAAGAACAGAAAAGAATATTCAAACATCTGGAATGAACCAGCCTGGCTGAATATTAAACTGGAAATAGAGAAATAATAGAAATAACTGTGTAATAAGAGACTAATGCTAGAAAAAGTGTATAGATAATGTAGTAAAGTCAAAGTGCAATACTGCCTCAAATGGCTCACCTCTAGGAATACCTAGAATATCTCCGTGCTACTACTATGGTCGAAAATTGCGACAGGCTACTGACTTTAATAAACACTAAAACTGGTCAAGCCCTATAGTCATGAACAACTGAGTAGCTGATTAACGTAGGCTGAAATTGATGCCTATAGAATGGTCACTGGATCGGGTCTGACTGTGTATACAGAATGCTGCGTGGTCAGTGTATAGAAGTGGTTAGTAACCTGTATCTATGGAGGCTACGCCACAATGAATATCCACAGAACCCACGCTTGTATTGGGGGACAGCATATGAATCTACCCTCATATATGTATATATGTATCAAGGTCTAGCATTAAGGAGGATTGATAGATCTCTCTATGAACTAGTGCTAGATCTCAGTAAAAATTAACCTATAATGGTAACATACATAATTGACAGAGGGAAATTGAGTATGCACATGGAGTCCCCCTGGTATAACAGAAGGAAAATACCCTTTAAAGGTTAACTAATGTGACCATGGAAAATAAAAGGAGAAAAAGGTGAAAAAATAAGAATTAAAGTGACTCTATGTGCAGAACCATACTTAGGATGTTGGTTACCTGCACATAGTGATAGATAGCCCTAGGTGAGAGAAAGTGTGAAGGGAAAAATGAGCCCAAAGAGCGTTTCGGTGCTTTCTAAGATGCACCTTCGTCAGGGGCTGACTGGAGACTGATTCCCAGTCTCCTTTTAAATGTATTGAGGTACCGGTATCCAGAGAAGTGTCCAATCATAAAGCTGATATCAAATGCAATCCGGCGCCAACAACCCACGTGGTGATTATGTAAATGAGTTGTGCCGTATCAGCCAATCACGCTCATGTTGTAATGACGTGTGTTCACGAGCTGTTTAAACAGCTGAGTGCTGAAGCAAGACAGGTCGGATTCTGTATATATTATCCGATGTGTTGTAGCTGAGAATCGCTACAGTTGCTAACCACTGTGTTTCTATTTACAACAGAATTCGGCTTCACAATCGTCACTTGGTAAAAAGTTTAGATTGTAGTTGGCTATTATGTGATAAAGTATTGCAGGATCAAGAAGAAATGAATGAATGAAGTTTGACTTCGGTCATAAGATACATAGTCTGTAATGGTATAATACCGTGATGCAGTATGGACAGACTTCATCCACTTACGCATAATAGGTGACCCTATAATACTTTATGAGTTCGAATACTAGAACATGTGAATTCCGTGAATCCATCGAGACAAATCGATACAGTAATATCTAGACATTTGAAACTAAGACACGACGGCTCAGCACATTGCCTACGTTTTAACGGCATTGAGAAGATTAAACTGGGTCCCAGAAAGGGAGACCTAGACCGAAAATTACTCCAAAGAGAGAGTTATTGGATATTTACACTTAAAACCCTCTCCCCGTCCGGTTTAAACGAAGGTTTCTCGTATACTCCTTTTATATGAGCACTCAAAATAACCTTTCTTCCAACTAATACTAAGCTGGATACCCCTTGATACTAGTCACTCTTTGAGAGCTATATATCAGGTATATACTGGCTCTTTGGTTCTTAATATTTCTAGGACCTTTTAAACTCTGGTTTCATCTACCTATTAAAACTATGACATTCTTTGTCTCCTAGTCAGCCAAGCCTGATCTCTAGCCATTTCAAGCAATCTTTCTTTACGCATTATTACAAGTGTAATATCATCTTAAAATGTTACTAATATGTATTCAAATATTTGATGATTATATTTATTCTAATTTTCTTATTTTTCTATTTTCCTTTCTCTACTTAAAGTACAGTATCCGTTTGGGGTGTCATCCCCAGTCCTATAATAACTAAACTATTGCTATCAGCATCCACCAATCTCTCTCAATACCACAACTAAGCCACTATGACTTATAATATAGCACCTGACTAATCTGTTCGGCGCTAATTCTTAGCAGTCTATTATTGAAAATTAGTGAGACCTACTATCTAACAACGAACTCATAAAGTATTATAGGGTCACCTATTATGCGTAAGTGGATGAAGTCTGTCCATACTGCATCACGGTATTATACCATTACAGACTATGTATCTTATGACCGAAGTCAAACTTCATTCATTCATTTCTTCTTGATCCTGCAATACTTTATCACATAATAGCCAACTACAATCTAAACTTTTTACCAAGTGACGATTGTGAAGCCGAATTCTGTTGTAAATAGAAACACAGTGGTTAGCAACTGTAGCGATTCTCAGCTACAACACATCGGATAATATATACAGAATCCGACCTGTCTTGCTTCAGCACTCAGCTGTTTAAACAGCTCGTGAACACACGTCATTACAACATGAGCGTGATTGGCTGATACGGCACAACTCATTTACATAATCACCACGTGGGTTGTTGGCGCCGGATTGCATTTGATATCAGCTTTATGATTGGACACTTCTCTGGATACCGGTACCTCAATACATTTAAAAGGAGACTGGGAATCAGTCTCCAGTCATCCCCTGACGAAGGTGCATCTTAGAAAGCACCGAAACGCGCGTCGGGCTCTTTGGGCTCATTTTTCCCTTCACACTTTCTCTCACCTAGGGCTATCTATCACTATGTGCAGGTAACCAACATCCTAAGTATGGTTCTGCACATAGAGTCACTTTAATTCTTCTTATTTTTTCACCTTTTTCTCCTTTTATTTTCCATGGTCACATTAGTTAACCTTTAAAGGGTATTTTCCTTCTGTTATACCAGGGGGACTCCATGTGCATACTCAATTTCCCTCTGTCAATTATGTATGTTACCATTATAGGTTAATTTTTACTGAGATCTAGCACTAGTTCATAGAGAGATCTATCAATCCTCCTTAATGCTAGACCTTGATACATATATACATATATGAGGGTAGATTCATATGCTGTCCCCCAATACAAGCGTGGGTTCTGTGGATATTCATTGTGGCGTAGCCTCCATAGATACAGGTTACTAACCACTTCTATACACTGACCACGCAGCATTCTGTATACACAGTCAGACCCGATCCAGTGACCATTCTATAGGCATCAATTTCAGCCTACGTTAATCAGCTACTCAGTTGTTCATGACTATAGGGCTTGACCAGTTTTAGTGTTTATTAAAGTCAGTAGCCTGTCGCAATTTTCGACCATAGTAGTAGCACGGAGATATTCTAGGTATTCCTAGAGGTGAGCCATTTGAGGCAGTATTGCACTTTGACTTTACTACATTATCTATACACTTTTTCTAGCATTAGTCTCTTATTACACAGTTATTTCTATTATTTCTCTATTTCCAGTTTAATATTCAGCCAGGCTGGTTCATTCCAGATGTTTGAATATTCTTTTCTGTTCTTTCATCAATAGGGGTTAAGCCCCAGGACACTACTGGAGTGTCCATAAAGGTGTATTTCCACCACCGAGACGGTTCCGTTTTTGGGACCTACTCACATAGGTGGAATTTTTCTTATTATATGTATAAACATTTATATAAGAAGTAAAAGTTAGATGGGAAATGCTAAAGGGAAAAGAAGGAGAAAAGAAAGAAGGAAAAAAATTATAAATTTAAAAAGCCCTAAAGCCAGAGAAGGAGCTCCACAGAAAGTTCATAGGGGCGTCATTTGTCACTTCCAGTCCTATAGGATTTAGGAACCAATGCTCTCAGCTTATAGAAGTAAAAAAGGCTCACTGGTTGATTTCACATATTGAGATTTGCATGGAAATGAAAACCACTTCACATGTTCCTGTCTATAAGTAAGAGATAGTCAGTACTTGAGGAAGAGGGATAGAAAGAAATAGGGTAATATAATATATATGAGATATAA